GTGTGTGTGTGTGTGTGTGTGTGTGTGTGTGTGTGCAGATCTAAGACAGACTGATTTCAAAGCACGGATGTGTATGTGGCTTGTGAGCACCCGAGGCACCTGACTGCCATCCTTTGCACGGTCGACCGTCCCGCTGTCTAATCTCACTGTCTGTGTGGAATAGATGACTGGGAATGTGCTGTGATAGATGGGAAAGCTGGCCACATGGACAGCTGCTTCTGCGAGGTATTAAGATGGGAGAGATCCAGGTGCTTCTGCCTACTGCTGCTTGTGACAGCTCATCTATCATTTTGCTTCATGACAGTCTAGACAATACAGCTTGCACTGTTACTTCATGAGCCAAACCTATATTCTGTCTGCTCATTTTCAACATTTTACTTTGAATATCCATATCATWTCATATTGCGTTTGAATGAAAGTGTGCAGGTTTAAGCCTCTGGATTTTCTCTGATGTTACGTCCAACTTATTTTAGGTGTCAGTTTAGTTAAAGATGATCAGCATCGTTAAAAATGAAGGCATGCATGCAAAAAGAAATATGTTTTAACCAATGTGTCTGTGAGCACAATCCAAGCTGCTAACAACACATCAGACATGTTGTTGTTTGTGCAATTTATAAAGTTTCAACTGATTTCAGGACAGATTGATTCTGTAAATCAGTGGAATTGTTTTCAGATCAAAAAACTTTTTCCTCTCCTTATAAAACAGTTGGTTGTCGGCAGGTAATGGTATCTGCCACAAACAGCCACACACAATGATGATAGAAGGATCCACTCAGACGAAAGGGCCAAGTCATCTTGTTTTCTTCCTGGTCTGCTAACTTATTCATTTTGTCAGCCATGGGGGGCTCTGCTCCCTTGCCTGTCCTGATGGGTGACTGATATGGGTTCCTCTGTGGGGATGAAGTGATATGAGAAGAGACAGCTTTCTGTTCCCCATCCAAAGAGTGTCAGAACACTCTGGCTGACCTGCTGGCTCCAGCATGTGTGGTTTCAGCGATTCCTGCATCAATATTGCCCCCATGTGGTTATGAATAAAACTGAAACCGTCACTTTTGTCTCCTATCTATGTCCACGCCACTGTCCCCAATCCATACAACACAGCTGGTGTCACGACTCACTTGCAGCCGTTCCTTTAGACCTGTTTTGTCAGAACTGACTCCTGAAACTTTTCTCCATCCACTCCACCCTGCCTGGACCCTCTTATTCATCTCTTTATCACACTTTCCATTTTTCTGGACAGTCAGCTTTAAGTACTTGAAGTCCTGCATCTTTGTGACCTCTGCTCCTTGTAGCCTCACTTCTCCATGCATCCATCCCTTTCATTCACACACATGTTCTGTCTTGCTATGGCTGACTTTCACTTATGGGACAAACACAAATTTTAATTGAAGCAAGAAGATAGTAATGTCAGTGTTTAAACACATTTATCTCATATAAATGCACATCTCTGCTATTTTGTTATGGTCTTGTGAAAAGAATGTTTAATTTTCTTCACTGCGCCATTTTAAAAGGGTGTAGTACCAGTAATTTACACTGGGTGACAGCAAAGACTAAAACATGGATTCAAACTTTCTTAACCTTGAGTTCATGTTTAAACAAGCATCTGTATCGTTTCAATGAAACCTAACGCAAATAACCAGGGTGATGCTTACTGATACACTGTTGTGATTAATCAAATGGATCTTCCACTCAAAGCACAACTGTTGCCACTGTATTAAAATAAAATAAAGAGTTTGACAAGACTAAAATAAACAAAATAAAGAGGTTTATTTAAAAAAAGGTCCTGTAAAGACAGTGAGATTACACAGGAAGTGAAAGAACAGAGGAAAAAAATCACTGCAACCTTTAATTTACTCTAACATCAAAATTTAACCTTCAGAAAAGAAAAAAAATTCTATTTATTTATTTTTTAAACAACAAATCATAGAGTAAAAGCAACACAGCCTGAAAAAGGTGAGAATAAAGCTTAATGAAATTAATTTTGTTTTAACAGAAAGATGTAGGAGTCTCAAAAAAATGTGATCAATTATGCTTACAGGATTCTGACCAAAAAAAGTATATACAGTATATATATATATATATA